AGTATCAGGCTCCCTTCCCCAAGAAGTGGAGGCTCCGTCACCGGAGGTCTGTCGGGCCCCCGGGGCCCGTTCCCAAGCTCCCCCCGAGTTAGAGGGAGCATCATTATCCTGGTCACCGCCTCGATGACGAGTGTAGTATGGGTACCCAGACATGCCTGATAGTGATCGAGACTCACCGAAAGGGATGAGACAAAGTGAATTGAGGAACTCGAGTAGACTTGACAGATGCACGACCTCAAAATCTGAAGACAGCAAGATGGCATGAGGGAAGATGAGATCCAGAGGGCCCTTCTATTTATAGCCTCCACGCCTCCGAATCAACGACTAGGATTAAGGCAGATCCGACGGTTCGCAAGTGTACTGACCGCACGCCTTCTGAAAACCGAAAGGCGATTGGCTGCACGTCTCCCATGATTGAGGTGATGACGGCTGCACAACATCTGGAGTTAAGAGCCACTTCAGCACATTTTCGGAATTCGAAAAGTCAGAAAATCTCCTGATTCCCGCGAACGCGTTTAATGTGAGTAGTCAATCAAGTTTGAATTTCGGTCAAATCAGTCCATCATACTTCATGAACTCCTTGCGCTAAGGCAACGCTCTCAACTCAAGGAGTGGGGGGCAATTGATGGAGGATGATTTTGCCCGACCTACGAAACGATGACATGTGGACCTGACTTCACACGAGTAACAACTCAGCATCATGGCCTTGTAATGACTAAGTGACGAGACTATAAAAAACAGCTCGCTAAGGGAAGAGCTCGCTACAACACGAGCTCCGAATTCCCCGAGCTACCTCAAAGGGGATATTTCGAGGCAACTTTAGCTTGCGAGCTAGGGAAACCAGCTCGCTTAAGCCCCCAAGCAAATAAATCATCCCAGGGACCAATTCTAACAAGGGTAACCCTGAAGTATTCCTAAGCTCGCTACAAGGTAGCTCGCAAGTGGACAGCGCGAGCGTTCCTCAGGAAGCTTGTATCTGACAGGCCGTACCGATCAGACTGCACTACGTTCCTTGACTGACGGCGCAGTCTCTATCCTTTCGACAGTCTGCACCCATGTCTCTCAGCAGGCGGAGGCACGCCTACCCTTTGGAGACGTGTCACTCATCCGATCAAGGAGTACATTGCAACGGCCACCTGCGCAGTCCTGACAGGTAACGACTGTGGTAGGGGCCCAGTGGCAGTTACACCCGATCAGACAAAGAACGCCCCTATAAAAGCCCTCAAGGCAGAAGAGAAGGGGGATCTTCAGACTTTTGAATACTTTCGCACTCTCATACTCTAAACTGAATACATATTCGTTCGCAAGTTAATCTCTCGAGCACGGTGATAAAGCGCGACCTACACTCTTAGCTTTCGCATTCTTCTTTTCTCTTTCCCCTACGTTCTGACTTAAGCATCGGAGTATTCCCACCGGGTAACCCCCGGGGATCCTTCTTTTCCATCTTCTCAGGTGTCGCCTGTTGCCAAAAAGGAGCCAGTCAGTTGCTAGCTAGGAGTGCCCGGATCGTGCCACATCAGTTTGATTGTCCAATTCGAACGAATGGTCTGTTCTAACAACAAAAATTACAAGCAAAAAATTACAGAGCCGTTCTGGTCACCAGTTTTTGAGTTGACAGTTCGACCATCCGTTCGAATGGACAACCTGTTTTGACAACAAAAATTACAGGGAAAAAATTGAATGTATGAGGTCCAATAAGCAGTATCATACGTGTTATGTCATTCGAGTGCGTGACTAATACGACTCAAAAATGAAACCATTTTGGTCACCAGATTTTGGATCGACAGTTCAACCATCCGGTTCTAATGGACAGACAACCCGTTCTGACAACAAAAATAAAAAATAATAATAAACGGCCAAAAACCATTGAATGGGTCGACGGTTCCACCACTCGGGTCAATGGGTCATTGACCGATTCAACAGTTTTTGGCCAGGGGCCAGGATTGGGGTAAAACAAAACCTGTTTCCTGGACGGTTCTCAATTAAAAAAAAAACGGTGGTTTGATCGTCCGGTTTGACAAACGGTCTGCTCTAACAACAAAAACTATATGCAAAAAAATGAGTGTGTAAGGTCCATTAAGCAATATCATACGTGTTATGTCATTTGAGTGTGTGACTTATACAACCCGAAAACGGAACCGTTCTAGCCACCGGTTTTTGGGTCGACGGTTCGATTCTCCGGTTTGAACAAATGGCCCGTTCTAACAACAAAAATTAAAAAAATAAAAAAAACGGCCAAAAACCATTAAACGAGTCAATGGTCGACGATTCGATCGCCCAAGTCAATGGATCGTTGATCGATCCAATGTTTTTGGCCAGGGACTGGGATTGGGATAAAACGAAATTGGTTGCTTGGACAGTTCTTAATTAAAAAAAAAACGGTCAAAAGCCATTGAATGGGTCAACGGGCCGACAGTTCGACCGCCTGGGTCAATGGGTCGTTGATCGATTCAACGGTTTTTGGCCAGGGACCGGGATTGGGGTAAAACGGAACCGGTTGTCTGGACAGTTCCCGGGCCGAAATGCCCATCTGTGAGATCAACAGCGGGTCGAAAACCATGGTTTTTTGTGCTTTTGGATTTTTACTATTCAAAGGTTTCTTCTACTGTTGGCTTAATTCGAGCGTGTGCGATATGTTCCTTTCTTTTTTCATTTTCTTCTTTTTTTTGTGTGTATTTGGTCTTCTTCTTCAAGATCTTCCAAAACGGTCTAGGGTTTACCACCATTTTACTTGTTCCCTTTTGTTTTTTCTGTCGGTTTTCTTGTGTAATATTTTTTTTTCTTACAAGACGATCTACCTTGTCTTTCTTTGATTGCATGTATGTTTAGCTCCGCTTCAAAGTGGAATTTTAAACTCGATTTTCTGATTTTTTTTTTGGGGTTTCCTAGTTTGTTGGATTTACCGTCAATTTTTTTTGATAAATTACAGAGATCCCCCTATATTATGGAGTCTGTGACAAAGACCCCCCTGCACTTTGTTTTGCGACAAAGACCCCCTTGTGCTATGACCATGAGACAAAGACCCCCTTGACCGTTAAATCAGATGACAGAATGCGTTAAATTACCAAAATACCCCATTAAACTTTTTCAATTTTCTTTTCTTGCCCTTTTTCTCTTAAAACCTATTTAACCTATTGTTTTACCTTCTCTTCTTTTCCCCTCCCTCACCATCCTCTCTCAATCTTTCTCTCTCCCAACTTTCCGAAATGAACCGCCATGGCCTCCTGTTTTCTCACCTTGGCTTGCCACACCTGCGCCTGCACTCTAAGTTGCGCCACTCGCTCTTCCAACAGATAAACTGGGGAGGTTCTGATTCATAAATGTAGGTTGGAGTCTGAGAGCATACTGGGTTTTTTTGGATAGATTGTCCTAACTTGCAATGTTGTAATTGTAAAAACTAGTGGACTGGATTTGTTCACATATGAACCTGAGGTTAAAATTCTCCGCCTGGTGGAGACAAAGAAATTGAATGTCTGCTGGTATGTTTATACACATGAAAGCCGGATGGTTCTTCTTGCTTCTGGAATGCAGTGCAAGACATTTACTGGATTTCAGTTTTCATCTGGGGGAATTATTGGGTTGCCAAGATTTGATATGGCAATGGCTAAAGCAGAGGTGAACATAAAGCCTGTTCTTGCTGCAGAAGAAGTGCATATTGTTACAATATATGGTAGGATATACTGCTTGCAAGTTGATATAGTTGCTATGCTGCTGCACTTATACAGATCGGAGGGATTTAACGCAAAAAGGGGAAGAGCCAGAGGAGCGCCGGATGTCTGATTTATCAGATTGGGCTTCGAGTGTTACTTCTTCGGTAGATACTCTGGTAAGGAAACATTTGGGGACAATTTGTGATTTTGGGGTTTCTTTTTGTAATAGGAAGTTATTTCAATTGAATTTTGCATTGTTGTGGTTAGAAAAAAGGACCTCTGCAGTGCTGGTCCATGAAAATGTATAAGCATAGTTACCACTGCCGAAGTCGAGTCTGAGAGATGGAGTTCTGTTTTACTCCTGAATGGCTGAAATTATTTCACTATTTTCCTTTATATGACCGAATTCTCTGTGTTCTCATGGCTATTTGACTTTTGCAATGGTCCCTGTTGGTGTTTTGGTAGCACACCTAAAAGAAAGATTGATTGTTTTATTGCTTTTTTATAAAAAAATTGCAAGTGGTAATCACCGATTACAAGGGTAGTATGGGGATTAAAAAATATTATAACCGCATTTTTGGACAGAAAACTAACGGAATGGGGTCTTTGTCTCATGCTCATGGTACAGGGGGGTCTTTGTCGTAAAACAAAGTATAGGGTCTTTGTAATTTACCCTTTTTTTCCTGTATTTAAGTTCACTTGGGATTTATCTTTCAAGGTTTTGAAATTCCTTGCAATGTCCACCCTTCCCATGACTATAACTACAAAGTTATTTCATTTAATTATTGACATATAGAAAAAATAACTGGGAAATGGAACTATTCTGGCCACCAGTTTCCAAGTTGATGGTTTGACCATCCGGTTCGAACGGATGGCCTGTTCTGACAATAAAAATAAAAAAATTAAAAATAGATAAAAACCGTTGAACGGGTCGATTGCCTGAGTCAACAGGTCATTGACTGGTTCAACGATTTTTGGCCAGGGACTGGTTTTGGGGTAAAACGGAACCGGTTGCCTAGACGGTTTTCGGGCCGAACGGTCCTACTCTCTGGGTCAACTGGGAGTTCTCGATGTGAAACAAAGGACAGCTATGAAGTAGAACTCAGAACTATCACTATATAATTATATTAATTCTTTTATATAAGATGTTTTACTGAAACAATATTTAAAAAATGAACACATGATGATCTCTTTTAAGTCTTTATTTAAGTTTTAAAACTTAAATAATTATAATTGCAAGTTTCTAATTAAAACACTATTATCTTTTTTAATGTAGAAAATAGTAATATTGAAATTCCAGCCCCCCTCCGCTAGTAGATAAGAATTATGAATATACTCATTTAAAATTACCTCGGGGTCTTCAGAATCAAAGTGCACCGGAGTTGCAACATGGAAGACGAAGTCACATCCTGAGATAGCAGCGTCGAAGCTCCCTTCATCAGTTAAATCTGCTCGAAAGATTTTTAGGTCTCCCAAGTTTTGTAGCTCCAAGAGGTGAGAGACCTTCTTTTGATTTTCTACATATAATAACATTGATTAATAACTCCACATGCTATAATGAGAGTAAGAGGATAGAAAACACATTTAGATTTTGAATGATTATTTTACTATACTTTTTAAATATATATACATATATTTTAATAATTAGACATGAAAAACAGGAAAAAGTTCATAAAAATATTTTCAAATATAAAATAAATAAAAACACAGAAATTTCAAAAAATATAAAACATTATAGAAATTGCAAATAAAATAAAAAATTATTTTCAAATTATAGAAACTATAGAAATTGAAAAACAAAATCAGAAAATAAAAATTGTAGAAAAACCACCAAAAATTATAGAAAAACACAGAAATTATAAATAAATAACAAAAAATACAGGAAAATTTATATATTATAGAAAATAGAAAAATGTAAAAAAATAGAAATTATAAAAACATTGGAAATTATAACAAAACACTAAAAATGTAAAAAAAAACATGAAAATTGAAAACTGAAAAAGACCATTTTCCTCTAACACGCCATCCAAGGGTAAGTTGATCATAAAAATTGTTATTTATGTTGATGTGGAAACCTCTGTTAAGAAGCATTAAGGGTGCACTAATGGAAATAAGTTTTAGAAAATAAAAACTTACTGACATGGTGAGTTTTAAACATTTTAAAAAGTTGTGAATTTAAGAGAAATGTTGAAAATTTATGATAAATTTTTAACAATTTTCCAAAATAAAATATTACATCAAATTAGTTTTTTATTAAAACACTGGCGTGTTAAAAAATCATTGGGTGATCTTGGGTTTGTTCTGTGACAGTGGTTGCAGGAAATGTGCTCTCCCAAATCGTAATAGAGAATTGGGGCATATTATTAATTAGGTCTTCTATCTTGCCTTACCAAATAGCTAGATTTTAAAAATTGGTGGGGTTGAGTTATTAAGACATACCATCAAATGAAAGCAAACTTGACTTCCGTTTTTATTTTCTTTGCTATTAAGTAAAAAATGAGAAAAAAAATCCTTTTTCCTAATTTCTTGATTGGGTTTTGGGCTTTATATAAGGAACAGACTCGGGCTCAAGACGTAATCTTGGTGTTCAGGCCAGGCTCAAGCTCATGCCTAAATGTATTCTATTAATATAGAGACAAAACTTAACCTCTCATTTAAGGTCATCAAATTGGATCAGGGGTCATAAAAGTGGCACGCAAAATGTGCATACAAAAAAGGTTGCATCTTGCATGGAAACATTTCATCCTCAAAGCATAAAGTCTACAGTGAAAACTAGCATTCGCCTTTTGTTTGTTTTGAGCGTAAATTTTCAATTTTACAAATATATTTTTAAATCCCAAGTCTTCTTTAATGGTTTCTCTCACTCCTATACATAACTATCAAATCAAAAGTGAACTAAAGCTTTATTTACATGTATATAGTTATTCTTCAGTCATGTGCGGAAGTCATATATGCAATTATGCACGTGAACCCAACTAGGTATTAATAAAAGGTAAATTCCATATTAATAATGTACTTTGCGACTAGTCTCATTTTAATACCTGAACTTAAAAACGTGCCACTATAATACTCAAATTCCCCAAAACTATCAATTTAGTATTCTATCATCAACAGTCAGTCAGTTATTTGATGCACGTCACATGTGATTTGTAATAGTTTAAAATTTCAAAATTATCCTTTTGAAGACAACACCATTCATTATCTTCTTTCTTGAGACTAAACTAAAGCAACGGTGAACATAGTCCCAAATGCACTATTGTTTACAACCATTACTCAAATGTTTCCCCCATGGATTTTAATATGTTTCTTTAGCTCTTGTCATTTTCAAATAAATAAACTTGTTAAAAACAAAAAAAAATTGAAATTTATTCATTAATTATGAAGGCCAATTACAAGGCTTTGTTGTTGCTAAGTCAACCCAAACCATTTTACTGATATGAGATAGTATAAACAATGGCAAAACTGCGCTCTTCATTTGTTGTACCACCACTGTCATCGTTTATGTTATCTCTAAATTCAACCTTGATCGACCAGTACAGAGGTTGAGTTTACTCAATCCCGTTTCACGTTGCAGTTCATCTTAGCAATGCGGAGAGAAATTTGGAGCCAAATTGAGCCAACGTAGTCTTAGCCTACGATATAAAACTTATTGCCTTTCTTTTTCATCTCTTAGCATCACTTTCATTGTTGTAATTGAGGCATGAGCTTTGTTAACAGTAGAAAAAAACAAGAAAAAGAGAGGCGAGAAATGTTGTTCTCCGGTAACTACCTCCAACGACAGTCTTTTCTGGGTATGAGATAGTAAAGAGATGAGTGGCAACAACAGCAAGAGGGACTTTGTATGGGGGTGAAAGAAAAGAGTTAGGATAAGGTGAGTTCAATATGGTTGGTTGATAATGAAAATTAGACATTTTACATGTCACTAACGTCAGTTAATAATTTTAGACTAAACTAAAAGTTTTTGGGAGTTCAAGTACTACAGTGGCACGTTTTGAAGTTCAAGTATTAAAGTGAGACCAGCCGAAAAGTACAAGGTACTAATCTGAAATTTACCCATTAATAAAATAAACCAGTGATGTTTGTTTTAAAAGTAAAAGTATTAGAAACATCCTAAAGACAATTATTAGAGGCATATCATGAAATATTTTAAATGCACAAGGATGCTGATGAAACACAAAGATATGCATTACATAAGAAAATAATTTTTTTTAAGAGCACTAGTAAGTAATATGTTTTCAAAATTTTTTATAATTTTATTTTTATTTATCACACTTGTTTTTGTTTAATACGATGAATATATGATATTAGAAAATGTGCCCAAATGTCTTCTACATTTTTTTTGTATTTTTTATACTTTTATTTGTTTTCATCTTTTTAAATTTTTATTATTATTTAATTATGACATCAAGGGTTTACATATTTTAAAAGGTTTAATTGTTGACTTGCACCAAATAGGAAAACAACTCCGTTTTTGGTTGATTTTAAATTCATATTTTTTTCTATCATTAATAAAAACAATTATTCTTTTATATGCTTATTTTTTTAATATTGTGAATTAGTATAAGAGTGATGAAAAGTGGGAGTCAATACCCTAAATATAAGACTTAATGAGAGGGAATTGAATGAGGATAAATATAGTAGTTCAAATTACATTTCATGTCCTCATAGTTAAAGAGACCAAATTCAAAAATAGAGTATTTTAGTCAAGAATAGGATTCAATGGATGTTATTGGGAGTTAACACCTTAAATGTAAGATTTAATGAGAAGAAGTTGAATGAAAAAAGTGATTGTTAAAATTACATTTTTTATCCTTACAATGAGAGAGGACAAATTGAAAATTTGGGGTATTTTAGTCAAACAAAAAATTCCATATCATCATTCACACTTTTAATAGTAATATAGACAGGGTCTTAAATTTTCTATTCACAAATATTGTTCATTTGCTTTAATTTCTCAGTTAAAGTTTTTTTATTAAAATACAAATTCCCCATGATAGCTTAAGATATGCAAATTATGTCCAACAAAAATTCTCCAAAATAAGATATATTCACACTTTTATAAATAGAAATAGATATAAGTCTTTTATAATTGTAAAAATGTTATTTACACATAAAAAACCATACTTCAATCCTTACCAAAAGAAAACATACTAGAATAGTTTAATTAAAGGCTCAGTTTGGGGAGTCCTTTGCACAGAATATATTTGTATCTGTACTCCTTCCAAATTGAGCTTTGGAAGGAGTACAATTCCACAAATACAGACCTTATATTTTAGATCTTTTTACGCTTACCTTATATTTTATATGTATTTGTACTGTGCAAATGAATTCAGATCTGCACCCCGAAAGGGGCACCCCACAATGTCCCACAGCACATCCCTGCCATGTATTGGGAACATCTCCCGATGATAACATCATCGGTTCTGATACCATCTTCAAGAGATGTTCTCAATACACAGCGGAAATGTAGTATGCGACGTTGTGGGGCTCCCCCTTGTGGGGTGCAGATGTGAACTCTGTGCATCATCGGTTCTGATACCATCCTCAAGAGATGTTCTCAATACACAGCGGAAATGTAGTGTGCGACGTTGTGGGACACCCCCTGGGGTGCAGATGTGAACTCTATGCACATACATGCATTTGAACTTTCCAAACTGAGCCTAATCAAAATGTTGATTATGACCATAACAAACATGAATATGACATGGGCGATGTACGAGTCCAACTACTCAAAGGTAGCCGTTGTTAATGCGCAAATGGCTGTCGGCAAACCACAAAATGGAGTTGTTTAGGGTGGATATCTTGACTCCGGATCTCCTGCCCACAAGAAATCTGTCCACGCATACCCACAATACACTACCGGTGAATTGGGAACATCTCCCCCTCCCTGCATAATAATATGAAGAGGATGAGAGTGATATACGTGCGCAGGAGATCCGGACTCAGATATCTTATTGGTGCCCTGAGAGCCACTGGAGTTTCTTTTGCCTAAAGCTCTTTGCCCCTTCTCCTCGCAGTCACAAACTAATCTAGGTTCAGCTGTACGATTCAAAGGTCGGGCTTTCGAAGAAGTCAGTCTCCTCGCAATCTCACACTCATAGGTTCAGTGGTTGATCGGACTCCGCCTTACACCCCAATAAAGATTCATAATTTGAGAATTGTTATAAACAAATCGACAAAGGAAAAGATGTAGCTAGCTCCTAGCTATGCGAGCGATTGATTGTGAAAAGAGCAAAAGAAATGAAAATCCAAACAGAAAAAGAAAAGAAGAGGGGCCGGGATTGTAATTCGTTACAGAGAAAGGGCGAGGGAAGAGTAGATTGACTAACCAGGGTCCCTGACAGTGGTATTGACAGCATAACCTTTATCAAGCAACAGTTTGATGAGAAGAGAAGCCACGAAACCGGTGCCTCCAATGACGCAGGCCGCCTTTTTCAGCACAGTCTGAGAAGCCATAGTTTCTAATAATCTAGTTTCTCTCCGTTAAGTAATCACTGATCAGTGATGACTGACCTGGGGGATTGGGAACACGAACACGGAACACCCACCCTTCAAAATTGAAAACGCCAGAAAACAATGTTTGGTTTCTTACAACCCACCGGCCACCGGCCACTACACCCTGACTTCCTTAAATACCGATCGAGAATTCCATCCCTTTCACTCCGACAAGCCAAAATAATAAGACATCAAGAGAAGCACATGCTCTCCAAACGCATATAAGGTGTTTGGTAAAAGGTTCGCTCTCTCAACAGTCAACAATCATTTTCTCCAAGTCCGGATATGTACGGCTATAGATTTACATCGGGAGTGCTGTGATCTGCTTTTTGCTAATAACAAAACCATTTTGCTATTTGGTGGTGACATCGTTAACTCGGACGGTCGGACCATTTGAAGTGGAAATTGTTTAGGCAATCGGTTCCGTTTTTACCCCAAACCCAGCATTTGGTCAAAATCGTTGAATTAGTCAACAAACCGTTGACTTGGATGGTTTGACCGATAAACCGTTTGACCCGGAGAACGATTTGGTGCTCAGATCTCAAATCTAAGAAATCTCAGATCTGAGACTGAGAAATCTTAGATCTGAGAAATCTTTGAGATTGATAAATCTCAGATCTATCTTTCTCACGCGAGAAGGTGAGAGAGAGAGTGAGAACTAAGACTGAGAACGTTGCCGCTATAGTTCGCCGTCACCGTTGCCGTTGTCGCTGCCGCTGCAAGCCTGTAAGTCCTCCTCCTCCTCCTCCTCCTCTTCCTCCTCTTCTTCTTCTTCTTCTTCTTCTCTTCTAAACTTTCAGTTCAACCGACAGTTTTAATTCATGTTTCAACCCTTATTTTCTCTTATATACTATGCATCTTACCCTAATATTTCAATCTAATGGGTAAGATGCTCAAACCGTTCAAATCGTTTGACTCGAACAGTCGAACCGTTCACTTAGAAACCGGTGGCCAGAACAGTTATGTTTTCGGGCCAGTTTTTCAAACCTTACTGGTGACTGATCTGGGTCAAGATTTTGCTCCTCATCAGCGTTGCGCATTACACCTACCTCACAGTCATAGTACATATACATTGCAACGGTGCATTGGAAATAGACCTATCAATAGGGTTGGGTGGATCCGGTTCAAGTTGGGTCAAGATACTTCAGGTTGATTTTAGGTTGGGTTGGACTTCAAGTTGACCTAACCCTAAATGTTTAGGTTAGGGTTGACCCATTGGTTAATTTGGTCCATCCCAAAAAAATTTAATTAAAATTTTAAAAAATAAAGAAAAAATACATGAAAATGTCAAAGTTAATTTAATTTTCAAAAATAAAATAAAAAAACTTGAACGTTTAACAATTCAAAGAGTAAACAATAGAGAGTAAAGATTAAATAGTAAAAATTAAAGAGTGGAAACTTCTAACAATGCATAAATAATCTCAATTAGACCTAACAATCGGGTCAACGGGTTGACCCATGACCCAACCCAACCCAATTTTCTCTGGGTTGGGTTGGATCAGGTCATTCTCAAATTCAAGTAGCTAAATATGAGACCCTAACCCTGTTTTTTCAAGTTGGGTTGGGTTGGGTTTGCAGGTTGGGTCAACTTTTTGTCAGGTCTAATTGAAAATATGGGTTTGCTCACCAGAGAACCTGCCTCAAAGGTCAAACCAACCTTAGAGTGGTCTCGCGATTTCCTACTTGCTTTTCTATTCACTTTCTACCCATTGTGCATTGGAGCCACACATCTCTATTATGAATTGAGAGATGTGTAACTACAATTCACTTCGGGTAGAGTGGGTGGGACAAGTGAGTAGAAAATTTGGGCTCTTTAGAGTGTTTTCAGCCTACATTGAAAACATCCCACGTACTTGATATAGTAATAAAATTATGATCTGCTCTAACAGAGCTCACCTCACACCAACTTCACAAGTACATCCCACTATGTATCGGGAACATCTCCAGTACTTATGTGTTATTAACTTATGTGCTTGTGAGGTGCCCTGTGTGAAGAGTACTTGTGAAAACAATGAGGTTGGCTTGAGGTAGGTTCTGTAATGAGAAAACCTAGATTTGTGTCGGTAATGTTAAATCAAACCCCAACTCTTTTATAGAATTCAGATTTGCTCCTTACAAAGGTATCTGGATTTGCTCCTCACAGAGTGTTCCTCGCACTGACCTCACTACACATCCATCCGTGCATTGGAAACATCTCTTGTGTTTTTAACTTTTTATACTGTCTTTCATGGGATCCAAGGCTTTTAAAAATGAACCGGAAACAAAACCAGTTAGGGGACTAGTTTCCGGTTAAGCAGTTTAACCGTATGGATCGAACGGTTCGACTCATGACGTCATAAATAAATTAAAAACAAAAAATTAAAGAATTCAAAAAATACAGTACAAAACACATAGAAAATAAAAAAAAAATAAAATGCAGAAATAACACAAAAGAATTCAAAAAATACAGAAAAATGAAACTATTTAAATACAAAAATAACAAAGTACATAACAAATAGAAAATACAAAAAAAAATAAATAAACATTCTAAAAAACACAAAAAAACACCAAAAAATAGAAAAAAATAAAGATAAATTAGGATGTGTTTAGTCATACTCATACATGTGCAGAAAATACAAAAAAAAATCCAAAAAACTACATAAAAGTACAAAAAATAGTAAAGAAATAGAAAAAACACAGAAAATTGCAAATAAATACAGAAAATACTAAAAAATACAAAATAAAACAGAAAAGCGCAAATAAATAGAGAAAAATACAGAAAAATAAAACAGAAAAGTGCAAATAAATACAGAAAAATAAAACAAAAAAGTTCAAATAAATGCAGAAAAATAAAATAGAAAAGTGCAAATAAATACAGAAAAATACAAAAAAAAAAATAAAACAGAAAATTGCAAATAAAAACAGAAAAAATATAGAAAATAAAACAGAAAATTGCAAATAAATACAGAAAAAAACAGAAAATTAAAACATAAATGTGCAATAACAGAAAAATAAAACACAAAATTACAAATAAATACAGAAAAAATAGAAAAATAAAACAGAAAAGTGCAAATAAATACAGAAAAAATACAAAAAAATAAAACAAAAAATTGCAAATAAATACAGAAAAAATACAGAAACAAAACAGAAAAGTGCAAATAAATACAGAAAAATACAAAAAAATACAGAAAAATAAAAAAGAAAGTTGTAAATAAATACAGAAAAAAATAGAAAAATAAAACAGAAAAGTGCAAATAAATACAGAAAAATAAAACAGAAAATTGCAAATAAATACAGAAAAATAAAACAGAAAATTGCAAATAAATACAGAAAAATAAAACAGTAAAAATTGAGTTCATATAAACCTAGAGTTCATTAAACTTACAATGTTTTTCTAAAGTTCAAACAATTTGCTTATATAGTTCATATAAACATAGAGTTCACTAAACTTCAATGTTCAAACAATGTTTTCCTAAACATTCATGCCATTATAATCTGTCATACTTTAGAAAAGGAGGGAAAAATTCAAGTACCTTTGAACCTTTGGAAGATTCAACTTCTCTAGTTCTCTACTCTAATCAAGTTGCTTTTATTCATAGCATATGGTCATATACAATCAGCTGTACATAAGAAATTGCAACTTAATGAATTTGTACATAACAAGAAGTAAAACTAAATAAAAGTAAGGCTTGCTTTATAAATTCCCTTACCTATACAAATGGAAATGAACCCCTTTAGATGGTCAAGTCTCTCAGAGTTTCCTCTACACTTCCTATTCAAAAACAATAAGAAGACAATAAAAGAAAATTTGCAAAGGATTTCATAAATATTACCAAAATATTGTACATTCTTAATTCATCAAACATAATACTTAAATACTCAAAAATAAAAAGATCACAATCACAAGTAATAAAACGATCACAAACCAAGTTCAATAAGTATTAAACACAAATCAAAACTTCAAGTTCAAAATAGAGTTCAATTCACTAATCTAATCATCCAAATTCTCAAGATATGTTGGCCCCATTTCTCAATGGTACCGACTACCAACCAAAGCCAGGTGGTATATTTCACCATCATCTTCATCTTCATCTTTAGAAGGTTGTGTTTCATCCGCGTCTCCAAGTTGGGTGTTGGCTGCATTTTCCTCCATGATACCCCAATGCTCAATGAAAAATTCATCATCACCATCTAAAGAACAAAAACAAAAAATTAGAACTCAAAAACTAGCCAAAATAATCAAGTATGAAAATGTCATTTGAGATTATATCAATGATAGTTACTGATGTAGGGTGATCTGGCCCGACCTCGTAGCACAGAGACACGTGGACATGACCTGGCATAAGTGATAACTCAACGCGATAGCCAAGCCACAACTCGGCATAACAAGCTTGCCGAGACCCAACCAAGCGACTCGACGGGCGTGACAACTCGCTGAGGAGCAAGGCCCAACTCGCCCCAAGCTCCCTCCGTGCAAAGGGACCCAAGCTCTCCTTGAGACCCGAACTCCTCCTAAGGGGCTTTGAGCTCTCCCTCCTTAAGAAGGGAACACCCCAGCTTTTGGCTAAGTGTCTCGAGAGAGAAACACCTCGGGACAACACCGTCGAGACTCCTGTTCGTACTTGCTTAAGGCTCGCCTCTAGTTCGAGCACCTAGGCGTACCTCGGCACCTCGGTGCAAGGAAACCTAGCCACAGGCGGTTCGGTGCAAAGTAGCTCGGCAACCTACAGGAAAGATCCGCCTGACATCCATACCTGCCAGATCTAGTGGCAGCGCCCACATCTCTCGCCAGGCAGTGCCGTGCCTGCCGTCTCTGAAAAGCATGGCAAGCCTGACGAATCCGTACCCTGCAGCGGCAGCCTGCACCTGCCACCTCAGCTCTAGCAGTAATGGCTAGGGCAGTGGCGATTACGCCTGATGTAACTGAGCTCCGGTATAAGAGAACCCCAACCCTCACGAAGCAAAGGTATTGAAGCTAGCACTTACAACACTCTTAACTCTCTGTGTTTTCCTTGAGTTTTCCTCAGAGTTCTAACTTAGCCATCGAAGTGTTCCCGCCGGGAGAGCTCCCCGGGAACCTTTCATGTTCCTCTTCATCTTAGGTGTCGTCTGTTACAGTTAGGAGCCAAGTTTTAGCCAGCTAGGAGTGCCCAGATCGTGCTGCATCATTTGGCGCCGTCTGTGGGAACGCTTCAAAAGGCCTTCCTCTAAGTTCTGTGCAACTCTCTCAAAAGAACTTATCAGCATCACAGACACCTATGGCTTCCTCCAGCAACGCTGGATGCCAAACACCCCTGAGGAACAACCTAGTGACCCACCGTTTGTATCGGA